GCATATTAACTTAATGCAGTATGTGAATAAAGCATGTGTAGTTTGGAATTTATCAAAAAATTAGATAATCAAATAGATACTGCATAATCTTTTATCTTTTAAATAACTTTTAACTGGGTGTGCAACATAAATATATTTGATATTAATATATTTGATATTTGAAGTTGTACTCTGTAAAGTTGTTAAACCTTCGGTGTTTTGTTTTTCATTCATTACTATATAAAATATTAATGTCACTGGGATACTTGAACAGAATTTGTTTAAAAACGTTAATAATCACATTTCAAACATTGTTAGCATGCCCATTCCTATTTTTAAAGCCTGCACTGAACAGCAGGAATGCACAGTGATATCGGAATCATACTGGAAATCGTATCGGCAGATATTTGCTTAAAAAAACTGCCATCAGACATGTTTAGATTTTTGATGATGTATTTATTGCAAGAGCAGAATGTTTCGGGCATGTTTAGGACATCGAGCTACTGTGCTAAACTGTCCGCTTTCTATTCATTTTACTGCATTTGTAATCCTACACAAGTGAATGTTGTATTTGTCCGCTAGCCTAATCTAGGTAGATTTAGTCCTAATTTCTACATTTTTAAATCTTTATGTATTGGTATCGGCCCACAATTCCCATATCAGTGCATCCATATTTGAAAGTCTAGGGAAAGCAGGGCTGGGCAATAATGATATGTATCAAATCATACCACAATAAGGCCATAATAAGGCTAATATCCAGAACACTGAACAACTGCATTACAAAGAAAGAAATAATTAGTTCTGTTTGATTTGATTCAGTGTAGCACAGTATTTCATTCATTTGTACTTTTACTGTTTGATAATATTTAAAATGTGGCACCACTGGTTCTTTTTTGCCTATTCTATCTTATTAGATGACAAAATTTTTAGTCAATATTGTGATATAGTTTACTGTGAATTTTTCTTTGAAGTATCATGACATTATATTTCCGCCACATTGCCGACACCGACAGAAAGGACAGAAGTTGGATATTCTACAACTACTTTCTCTCCTTATAGTGTTTTTCCCATTAATTTTTATAAAGCGTTCCACTATACAAGCATTCCACTGCCTTCCATTGCTTTAAAACCCATTCACCCCAACCTACAGCAATTCTTTTTGTACTGCATCCATTTTTAATGAGCCCAGCAGGATGTCTGACAGAGGGGGGGTAGGGACAGGAGCGGTCAGCCTACAACTTCAATTAGCACTTAGTCTGTGCCATCCTTTCAATTCACTTAAGAGACTGGCAAGTGGTCTTACCCCCCTCTGCCATATGTGTGTCTGGTCTGGCTACTTCAATATAAAGCAGAGAACACTGAACCCTATAAACCTACTCAACTAGCCCTGCACATCTACCACCCTAGCACCAAAATAAGCATGAACAGGAGAACTAATGACACAGAACTATATGTTACACTGAAACGGCTGACAGAGCAAGGCTGCACGGTCAGTAAAGTGAATTAGGTTTCCTGACATGTGCTGTGCTGCTCCTTAATCGCTGTGGGTAATTGCATTATGCAAGGAGGAAATTGGAAAACGTGCATTCTGACAGAGCAGGACTTCAGGGATATGACCACAAATCTGTAGTTCATATTCAAAGTGCGCTATAGGGCTTCTCAATTTATCGTTTGCTAGTCATTACCATGATATCATGATGAATCAAGGTCCAAGAAACTAAAATGTGTTTGGTCAAAATGCAGACCAGTGCCTCATCAAAGGCTAATGTGTGATGTGTTTTTAATATACTGCAAGGCAAATTACAATTATATGGAACTATATGAAATTTCTATGCATCCCTAGCAACGTAACGATTTTATTATGTAAAAACCGTACGTGAAAAACTGAATTTGAAACAGTGTACGGTTTTAATACTAGGCATCTAGATGCATCCTATCAAGTAAACTGGTGGGGAGGGGGAGGGGCTTATGTTATGGATGCCCCAAAGCTCAAATGACTGGGCTTTTTATAAATCAATTATAGTTTGCATATGTTGTGTTTTTAGGGTTTATTTTGTTGGTGGTTTGTACAACAGACACTGAACAAGTTATATTTGGGAACTAATCTTTATATAAGGGAAAATCTGTGTAGTGTACAATTACAGCTCAGTAGAATCACAGATTCAAAATATTGAAAATTGATCTGAATCGTGACCTCAGAATTGAAAATCGCGTAGGGCTGAGAGATTTCGGTAAAATATCGAATTGAAAGAAAAAGAAAAGAAAATGGTTGTGTATAGAACCATGAACACTCAAAGAACTCTTTGCATGATCAAAGGGTTCTTTGCATCATGAAAGCGTTCTTCAGATTGATGGAGAATGTGCTGTCTACGGTTCTATATAGAAACTTTTTGAAAAGGGCTCTATATAGCACCAAAATTGGTTCTACTATTGCTACAAGCTTGAGATAATAGAACCTTTTGGTGCTATATAGAACCCTTTTCAAAAAGGTTCTATACAGAATCAAGTGCGGCTCATTCTCCATCCGTTTGAAGAACCCTTTTATGGTGCAAAGAACCTTTTAATCATGCAAAGGTTTCTTTGTGTGTTCATGGTTCTATATAGATCCATTTCCTTTACTGAAGAACCTCTGAAGAACCGTCTTTTTAAGAGTGTAGGCTATAATCAAAATTGCAGCTCCTGAAATTTGAAAAGTTGCGATTTCAATATAAAAACCTTTAGTTTTTCAGCCGTAGCACATCATAATACCCCTAGTGTGCAAACATTAATACACAAGCATATGAACACAAAGCACTCCATATTTCTGCTGTGTCAGATAAATATATATATTATTATATATATTTATATAATATATAAATATATATATATCATACTATCAAGACACTACCACATAATACCGTACCAAATTTTGAATTGTTTGCATCGTTACACCCCTGCAAACAGGGACTAGTGGTATTATGGCATGTCAGACAATATTACTAAGTCAGTTGTGAGCAATCTCTAAAGGTATTTCTGACTAATGAGTCTGACTTTAGGGAGAAAAACCACAGCAAGGCCTTGGCAAGTCTTCATGTCTTTTTTTAACATCCAGACACATGCTTTGCTGCCAGGCCTTTATCATAAGGGCTTAAACAAGCGCTTAGACAAGTTTAATCTTGTATGTTAATCTAGCATTAATCTATATGCACGCTATAGTCTGCATTATGCAGTCAGCTATGAGGCATCTTCAATGCAAAGTATTAGCAGACGGAAGAGCACATGCAGCATGAAGAGAGCATGCTGGAGAGAAAGCAGGGCGTGGAGGGAGAAAAGCAGACATACAGACAGCATAAGCTCCCAATATTCCGATCGGGCTCTTTTCTTTGGTATAATAATGATGCGGATTTGACAAACGAACCGTGCACGTCGATAAGGTTCAGAATAAATCGAATACATAAGCAGGAAAAAGGCAAGAAACGTGCGCCAGAGACACCAGCAGAGGAGGAAAGGAGGGAGGGAGGAGGGGGGAGAAAAAGGTGTGTCCGCCTTCGAGAAAAAAGAGAAAAAATTAAAGATCTATACGAATTTTAGCCGTACAGAAAAGAAAAAGACGCGAATGTACGCGTTGCTGTCATTTTAACACGAGGGGAGCATTTTTGGCGGGTTAGCTTTATAGAAAAGGCTAGCGAGCTGCCCTCAGATAGGCAAAAATGCCCCTAGACTGGGGGAATATGTGCCTGGATTAAAAGAAATTTCCCCCCCAAGACAAAGCCCCCACGTGGCTAATACAGGGGAGCAGAAATGCCCTCTTTCTGCACTTTGACAAAAGACAAATGCACGCATAATCCCTGTGATCTTATCTCATCTGCTGAGCTGCACATATACAGACAGAACTCCTCACTGAGAAGGAAACTCAGCTTAAACAGGCTTGACGGTGCAAACTAGGCAGCAGCATCAGCACCAAACAACTGCGCCAATGCCGTTTTACCGGCAACCCCACGTAGCACAAAAACCACCTTACGATAAATAATCCATGAACCTGAACCCCTCATGCAGTCTGTAATGACAAAAGCAAAAGACAGACGAGGACAAGACCTGGCAGCGTTTTGGACGATGCTGAAGTTGGCTCCTTTTTCCGAATTTCCAGTTCCACCTTAAATGGTGCGGCAGTTACATTCCGACGCCTCGGGCACCAGCATGTAACTGCCGCACCATTTAAGGTGGAACGGGAAATTCGGAAAAAGGAGCTGGCGAAAAAAAAGCCAACTTCACCTTCCCTGTTTGACCAACCACAGACATGCTTTGCTTCATCGCTGGAGCCGGTTTCCTGTCAAAGATGTAAGATTTTGTCTTTAAAAACGTAAAAAACACGTTTTGCCACAACTTACTACGAACCTGCACGCCAGACAACACCAAGCAGTGACGGTTAACCTAACGCTTTTTAACGTTTTCTCCAACTCACTGCAGCCACGAAAAACTGCTTCCTAGCAAATCCCCCATTGCTGTATGAACACCTACAGTGCTACAGTAACACCTACAGTGTTCACTGAACACAAGTTAGCACGGTAAAAGTAGACTGAACATTGTAAAATCTTTGGTTAAATAGCGCCTTGAGGGCTAGCTAAAGCTAACCGCCTTTTTGTAGAGAAGTAGCGTTAACCTCATCGTTAGAGCCCTAAGCTGTCAAGACACCGATCAAAAATATTGACAGCTGATCCAAACGTCACTTCGAGCACGTTCTTTATCAATATGAGACACCCATCCGTCTAGACAGAGGGTGAAAAACATTATCACGCTATATTATTTTGTTTAAAATGAGAGAAATGCCGCTGGGGCGAAGCCGGCATCCTTTGGCTTTGACAAAGCCAGGCCCGTTCATACACACCCAGCAACGGCAAAAATCACCCCCTCACAGCAACAGCGGTGAAGGGACGGGTCTCACAGTGCTGAACGGATAGAAAACAAACCTGGACTCTGCTCCACACCCAGATTAAGGAGGTTTAGCTGTTTCATCTGCATATAATCTGACCGGTTTTGCTTACCTGTGTGACACGCAGAGTTATTGTCTGTCCAACTGCAGTCAGTCAGTCAGCGCTGGGCTCTAATATAGCGACGCTGTTCCGTCGGCGGCCTGACCGAGAAGGGGGGGCGCTAAAGAGTCCACTTTAGGTTTGCTGCTGTTCACTGGGTGTGTTAGGCCGGGTTTGTCATTACACTGCACACTAATTACGTTGCAACGTGCTATCAGATAAAATAGCGAGAAGAGAATTAGTGCTGCTCTAAATATTTAGATAATCTCTTGTAATAGCACGAGCCTGTCCTTTGCTGTTAAGCAGAACTGCCTGAATAGTGAGTACTGAATCTGAGCAATTACAGTGCAGACTGAGCACTTCATAGGCCTGTGTCTGGTTTTAGTGTGTGGATAACATGCACCACATCTCAGTCTTATTACACACATTAGAACACATGAGCCAATATTCAAGTGTTTTATGATATATAACACACAGTATTATCATGGACAGGGAAGTACGGTCACTGCGCTCTTTTAGTCAAACAAGTTGGAGATACACTGAATATTTCTGGTTTCACAAGATCCCACTTCACTGTCATATTGTGATCTGATTATTTATTTGATGTTTATCCAACTGTTTAGTGTGTTATTTGGTGTTAACACCTTCACAACTCACAGGAAAGCTATCAATTTGCAATGCAATCAATTCATGTGCTCTAGAGTATATAAGCAATACTACCTGACCTGTAAATAATAATAAAAAAAGAAAAATGTAGAGGTAACCAAAGACATGACACCCATTAAGACTGTGAAAAATCCATCCTAGAAAGGGAGGTAGTGCTGTGCCACTATTCAAAGTGGCATCAGCGACGTTTTTTCCAGAAATCAATACTATCTTGCTATTAAAAATTTCACTCAGTAAACTACGTGTATATCCATGCATTAACTCATACGTCTTTTTTCTTTATAAATGTTGTGAAAAACTGTGATAAAATGTTATCATGATATTAAATGTTTATATAGGCTTATGCACAGTACACTGAATACCCTCTGAATACCCTCACAACTGAAAAACATCCATACAATCCCAACAAATAACCAAAGCAATGGAAAAGAGAGGGAACGAAACAGTTATGCAGTCCACATTGATAAGGCTAATGACAAATCAGTGTTTATCAGATTTCTGTTGCAATCCTGACCAAGTCTACCAAAAATTACTTCACTTCAAACTTCAAGACACTTTAGCTTTGCTTCTTACTGAACACTAAAGCTTTTACTGTAATGTGGCCACCACCCTGGATTTGCTTAGCAACCAGACCACTTGTGAATGAGTAGGCATTTTCAACTGAGAGGGGAGAGAGCAAGAGAGCAAGACAGAGAGAGAGAGTCACTGATGTACATTTTACATATGTTATACATATTATGTGTAATTCTATAATCCTTTTTTATATAATGTAATATAAGGTAATGTATTTTTTAAATCTAAATATGTCTTAGTTCTGTATACTAGCAATCTGGTATGATATGCATTTTGACCACATCATGTTGATCTTCATCATTATCACCTTCATTATTTGATCAGGTCTTTTATTAACTGAAACTTTAATGGAAAGTTATAGTATTTGGAACATAAGCCATTGGTTTAGATAGGCTGTATTAAATTATACTGCTGATTTTAAGGTGCCTATATCCTATTCTTGTCCATTTATGGTCTTTGTGTGGGTTCATGTTTTGGAGAGTGAACACTGGGGTGCTGCTTTGGCACTATTTGAGATGGACGTGATTGCAGTGGGACATCTGGCTAGAATTCACAAAGGACTCAGGTCAATAATGTTCCTCCACTCAATTATTAGAAGAATTCCACAGTTCGTTCACTGTCTGACTATGTAGATGTTTGGATGTGTGGTACTATAACGAAAAGGCTGTATTTACGAAAGCAGTGAAAATATGAACAATATGCACATTAATACAGTATGTCAGACAGAACCTATAAGGGAAACACTCTTTGACATGAAGCTAAAAGGTCAGTGTTGTTGAGCTCAGCTTGTGTGCCAATAAGCAAAAGGCTATTACTGCTCAAATCGAATGTTGTTTAGTGGCAATGTATTCAAACAACAGCTTACTAGCACTTCTTGTAATCTTTCTCAATGATAACAGCATCATCTTACTCTGTTCAAAATACATACAAAATACAATGGCCTGTGATCCATTTTACCAAATGGAGAAACAGTACTTACTGATCACATGCATGAAAAATCCAAATTATGTACCAAAAATAGCCTTCATTAATTTTTACATGACCATATCCAATCAAACTTTTTCTTTTTGAATTAAACAGTCTGCTTGTTACTGTGCCTTTAAGACTGATACATGTAAATGAGCTGTGTTCTGATTGGCTACAGTGCATAGCATCTTATTCAAATGCAATCTGAGCTGAAACACTCTTTAGAACTTCAGCATCAATGGATGAGGCTAAACTGCTGTAGGCTGAATCAGATGTATGTAAATGTTTTTTTGTAACATCATAAAAACAGTGAATTCAACATGGGCTGTTTTTGCAGATTTGTTTCCACATATGGACCGGAGAGAGATTGGTATGTTTTGAAACTATGTCCTTATCAGGTCCCTTTGAAAAGGACACTTGCAGCACTGTGTGCATTATTCAGAATTTTCTTCAGGGTATAAAGGGCTGGAGGTGTGTCAATGCAGGGTAAAACATCACACTGCAAACAGTGCTCTACTGCACTGTAACTGAGAACCCTGTAAGTGTTGCAGAACAGCTGATGTCATGCTATTAGAGTAAAGTTCACCTTTCAGCCACATGATGGTGCCTTTGACACACTGTCTACTTGAAGCTACTGTGTATGTTTGGTGCCTACACTATTATGAATACACCACAAGCTATTTTATTTTGATCATTTATTCAGAGCATCAGACATAAATAGATAAAAAAGACGGCAGGAGAAGAGAGCTTCAGTTGAGTGGAATAGCTTTCCAGTGCTTTGCTGATTGGGTACCAGATGCTGCAGAACTAACTGTTGAAATCCTGACTGCTCTCAGGATTTGGTCCTGAAAGAGATAAAGGAATTTGTTACACTTTTTCAAGAATAAGTGAAAAATACAGTACTGTACAAAAGTCAGAGACTACCCACTACAAATTGTCATTAAGTATATTCATTTTCAGGATATATTTCTGTGCAGATTAGATACAAAATAATCCATTTGCATAAGGAAGGGGAAAGTCAAAGGAAAATAAGTGTGAAAACAGAAGTTTGTAAAACTAAAAGTTAAAAAAAAAATCACAGACAATGGGAACACTAACAACTGTGCAAGACCTTGCAGACCAACAAAATAGTCCCATCACATAAACAGCACTTAAAGCTTTCATCTTTGAAAGACAGGAGAAAAATCAAGCTTCACTCTTGCTTCAGATCTGAAAATATCCACAGGTGTTTCTGTCCATCTTCCACTGTGAGAGAACAACTCTCGTTATGGATGTGTAGCTATTAAGAAGCCCTTACCGAAAAAAGGAGAGATTCTGCCAACACAGAAGCTGGTTAGGAAAATGGCCTGTCCACCTGTCCAGACCTCAACATCATTGAATGTGTTTGGCATTATTTGGATCGCAAGAAGCAGAAGATGCAACCAACTTTTAAGACTGAACTTTGGAGGTGTGGAAAAATATCCACACTAAATACCAAAAAAAATTCATATTGTAAAATTAATAATTCATACTTAATGGAAGTTTGATGGGAAATGAAATAAAACAAGCATTGTTTATGGCTTTGGCACAGTATTCTTGACACAACTTGTCAGCTCTCTACTCCATTTATTATTGGCCAGTTTCTGTTTCTGACCACAGGATTGCTGTTGACCACATGGATGGGTCAGGCCAGAAAATTTCTATCAAATTGTGCAACAGGCTACAGTCACTAGCTAGACACCAGCAAGACTGGCTTACAATGTAGTTTTCTAATAATATAGCTCGTGGTTTAATAGGCCTTTACATAAAAAAAAAAACACTGTCACTGTGACTCACCTCAGACATTTATCCAGACATGATGTGCTTCACAAAGGCTGTCAGAGAGAACACAAACAACTATTTCCAAACTGCTCATCTGCAGCAAAATGTATGGAAATTACAGAAACACTAGTACGTGTACATGGTTATAGTCATTTCAAAGAACACTCTGGTCAAAATGAAAAAAAAGCAACCATCACTAAGTCTGTTGTAAACATGCTTACTCGCATCCTACAGGAATGCTGCAGTAGTCTCTCGAGTGAGATTTTCTGGTTTATAGACATTTTTTTGGTGATTGCAGAAGGAAGAAAGAATAAAACACTCCTTGGAAGCCTGTATCTTACTGCAGTTGTATAACCATAGTACGTCAAAATTACCATTACAATAGAAGAACCGTTCACGCAAACAACAGAAATTACTTGTCAGATGAAAAAGACAACAAGCTAAAAGCTAAAATGAGTAGCTACCTGGTTACTCTGCCTGGCTGAAAATATGCTAATGCTGTAATGCTAGCTTGGTTGTATTGATTAGCCTAGATATCAGTGGCTAGGCTAGCAGCTGGAATTAGTTGACATCAGAGGGATTTCCTATCGTTGTATTATGTGTTTGCATGCTAGCTATTATAGAGAGAGAACACTGATGAACAAAAGCATGACAACAATATAAAACTTTGAGTTATGTCAAATCAATATTCAGGCTGAAATGCTTTAAAGTGTATAACTGCTTCACAGATTTCTATAATTGAGATACAAGGTTTGCTTACATGACCCTAAAATGTGATGTTACCTTCGTAGTTGATGCAGCCATTACCGTCCTCTTGTCCTGCAATCACTTGCTCAACCTCCTTTTCTGTCATCTTTTCCCCTAAAGGAAAAGCAGATATATGTCCTGCTTTAGTGATTACACAAATTCAGTACATCGTCCCCTCATCTCAGAGGAAATCAAGCATCACATGCACACCAACTACAACTGTTATGCTGCATTGTCTTATTTATTTCTAAAGAGATTTTGTCAATTTTCCACATATTTTAGTACAGCATTAATACTTACATCTGAAATACTGACACTGTTTTAATTATTTACCTAATGTTTGCAGAACATGCCGAAGCTCTGCCCCCATTACAGTCCCATTTCCTTCTTTGTCAAAGACTCGCAACCCCTCCACAAAGTCTTCGAATGTGCCTCTGTCCTTTGACTTAGAAATATGCTGGAACATCGGGAGGAACGTCTCAAAGTCCATTAGTTTGGTGTTCAGTTCTAAAGCCAGAAGAATAAGAGGCACCTTTTATTTTGGATATAACAATGTAGCATACAGATACACAGTTCAATAAACAAACAAATAAACAGCTGTAGTGCACAACATGGTGATTCATGTTTCATGTTCTTCTGACCTTCAGGTTTGGGTTTGCCTAGTACCCTCATGACCTCAGCGTTGGTGGGGTTCTGACCCAATGCCCTCATGACGTCACCACACTGAGCATAGGAAATCTTCATTTCTCCATTTGGTGTTCTGTCAAACAGCATGAAGGCCTCCTTAAACTCTGTTTGGGCAGATAAGATCCTCAGCTATAGCACTTAAGTCTTGGCAGACAATCTTGCTTTTCTCATCTTTTTCGTTAAAGTTTATTTACTGGGTTAAGCACATCAATATTTTCTCTTTAAGTCTCCATGAGATAGTAATGTGATACTCTAATTCTACATGCAGGAAATTCCATTAATTCTGCCTAAATTCTGAACAACTTTTATACTTTTGTTAAAACCATATTATTGCTGTCTAAAGAAAACCTTCCACCTCAAAACATCATAGGAGGACAAAAATAATATGTTCCTATAACTCATAGGGGAAATCCACTAATTTTTCAAAGTTGCTGCATGATTCAATAGTTGAGATGCAAACAGTGTAGGGAAACTGATTTGGATTTCTTAATGGAAGTTAAAGCAAATAAATTTCGTATCTAAACCACCATGACCAGGGAATCTATACAAGTCTTCTGGGTTTTATATGTAAAGTCAATAACAGTAAAACAGGGTCCCACTTTAATTGGACAGCCCCAGCAGATGATCTAAAGAGGTTCAATTTATGAGCAATCTATTTGGTTAAACTGGGAGATTCTCAACAGCATTAGGATCAGAGTTGTGATTAGTAAAAAGGTTTAGGACCATGGTAAGGGTTAGGTTTAGGTTTTGGGTTGAGGTAAAAGGTGAGAGTTGAATGCACGATAAGCATCTATTAAGCATCTACAGTGCGCTATCCAAATAAGGTGTTAACTTAATTGTGGAGAATTTTTAAAAAATCTGTCAAATTCTTCTTTAATGTAATTTAAACAAGTATGAAAGGTTTGCTCATGAAATGTGTACATAATGTAAAGGGCAGGTGGCATTTGAAAATGGTGTAAAAATTATAACCTAAAAAGATTTAGAATTTTTAGATTTTCTTTATAACAGCAATGATATGGTGTAAAAACACTCTATATGTGAATGAATTAATTCTCACCTTCAATCTGATCTGGGGTGAACTCAATCTAGAAAGAGAAAACAGAATGTCAAACATCATTGCCATACTTTGTTCACCAAAAGGAGAAAGTAATAAGTCTATTTTCATAGGTAATTCAAAGCACAAGATTTGTAATATTTGTACCCATCGACATGCACTCAATAATTTCTTAGCATAGCTCAGCCAACTCTGCTGACCCTGATCAACAGCAAAGGAAACATCAAACGACCACCAACGCTGAATTTGGACCAAGTTTTTCCCAACTGCCCACACTCCACTCAGCAATGCTGCAGATGCTAGCAGTACCCATGAGGAGAAGCGGGCTATTTGGGGTCACTCCATCAAGGTCATCTATGGCCATTTTCCCCTTCCCATAATGGGATCTAAGAATAACGGACGCCTGCTGTAGGACCAGGGGAGACACTGTGAAACCCCATCCTCCTGCACTGTCCCTGGGGTAAAAGATGGGGTCAGCCTGGATCAGAGGCATGCTAAGCTTCAACAGGGGAGCTTTTACATAGATCGACGTGAACAGTGTGGAAGACCACAAACAACAAATGGACAGACAGGTGGACTACCACAATGCTGTTCAGACATGCTGAATGAATGCTGATAGTATGAAGAGCATAAAATGGATTAGTTTCACATTTACTACGTGTATGGCATGAAATATGAGAGGGACATTTCTGAAATATTTGTTTTAAATGTAAAATAATAGGCTGAATTATTTCTCACATTGGAAAAAATAGATTCCTATTGTTATTGTAAAAAATAAAAGTAATCTGAGAACTCATTCTGGAGGCTAAAACTATTTCTGGAAATGGAAAATAGACGTCACTGTACCTTGGATTGTTGATTGAGAACATTATAGTTTTATGTGAGGAGCATGACATCACCAATGCTATAACAGACCACTAAAGAGATGCCAATGAGGCAAAAGATGGTCAGACTATGTTGATTCACCTTCAGTGCTGTGCAGAAACTACTTTTCACCTATTTAATATCCAGTCAACACAGCCAATTAGTACAAATTATTCATTTTTCAGTTGATATTTCTGAGGAGGTTAGACATAAGATAATGCACTTGCATAAGAAAGGGGACAGGAAAATAACTGAAGAACTTCCAACGGAAGAATTTCCAAAATTATCAAAACATATAGAGTAAACAGGACTCCTAACAACCATGCAAACCTGGTAGACCACCAAAACTATCACCAACGAACAGACAATACTTAAAGCCATTCAGTACAAGTTATTAATTTTTCAGGAGATATAAGATATTGGATACAAGAATCCACTTACATAAAGAAGGCAAGTCAAAAGAAAACAAGTGAAAACACAGGCTTTTCCAAAATTGCAGTTCAAAAATGATTAGAAAATATAGAGAAATTTGTTAAAGTTATCTTCTAACAACTCTGCAAGACCTGGAACCACCAAAACTGTCACCATCACATAAACAATACTTAATGCTTTCATCTCTGAGTGAGAGGAGAAAATCAAGCTCCACTTGATCAGATCTGAAAAAATCCACAGGTGTTCCTGTCCATCCTTCCATTGTGAGAAGACAACAACAATATGGGTCTGAAAGGATGTGTAGCTGTTAAAAAGCCATGACTGATAAAAGGAAAAAGAATGTGCAAATCAAAGAAGAAGCCGCGTTGGTGGTCACAACAATGGACTGACCACCCCAGGTCCAGACCTCAACATCATTAAGTGTATCTGGGTTTACTTGGATAATGAGAAGCAGAAAATGCAACCAACTTCTAGGACTGAACTATGTTACTTAACAGCCATTGGCCTGTAAATTAAATAAATGTAATCTTTGACTTTTGCATAGTACTGTATATTACGACACAGAGCAAATGATTAATATTCAACAAGTTTTCAAAGTGACTAATACGTTGGCAAAATGAACAATGCAGTGAAAATCAGAATACATTTGGCTGTCATATGTATCATATCTACTAAATACAACCTTCATTTTTTTTTAACACAACCCTGCAAAGCTTGCACGAATAAACCAAATCTGAATAAAGCCTGTATCAAATACTCATTATAATTACATAAACAGTCAATAATATAAAAGTCTGTCCTTTAATTGCAACATCAATAATTTCCAAATTTGTTGTCAGTAATGCCAGCAGCTGAGGGGTTATTTGTTATAGCTTAGAAACATAGACAAAGACATGAAGTACTCACTGCGATGCCCTTTGGGTCAAATTCTGGCTCCTTGGGTTTCTCTGGTTCTGGAGGAGGAGCTGGCTTGGTTGCCTCCTTCTTGGGCTCTACTTTCTTGGGAGCCATTCTTTTGAGACCGGCTACAGTGAGAGAGAGAAAGAGGCTATGAAATGTGGCAGAGAGTTGAGCAGAGTTGAGAATGATCAAATAGGTTTTATACCCACCTCCATCTCCCTCAGGCTGAACCAGAGGCAGATGGACCAACCCATCTGAGATGCCATCATGCGCCATATAAGGTCCGGAGGCTGAGGCGCTGAGCGATGAGGCTCCACAAGGCAGATCCTTCAAACGCTCTCAGAGGAGAGTATTAGCATGTTGACATATTGTTGTCACTATGATGATGACGTTAATGGCAGTATCATTAAGGTTACTTTGTGGCAGTGTTGGTGGGACAGAGAGAGTGGGATAGCTGGCAGAACAATACTAGGGGACCCTTGTAGTGCATGTTTCATTCTGAATGTTTGACAGAAGCACATTACCTGACAAACATCTGGCATTTAATTTTTAGAAGCATGATCTATTTTAACTACAGCATGTCTCTAATGCGTTTGAGGAGGAATGTGATCTTGGGAGACGTACATTGCTGTGTGGGCTCCACGCTGTCTGAAATATGGATGGACGGACCTTTGAGGAATTCTGAAACATCCCAGTGGGTGAGGATGGATTCTTGCACTGTATAATAAGAGCAGCAGTGTAGAGGTCTTACAGAATGAAATTGATGGACATCTTCATGTGATGGTTAATGGCAACCTCTGAGCCAGCTTGTAAACACAGACGAAACACTAAACTGCACTGCTTTTGGACAAGTAAGAGAGATCTTCTGAGTAGAGACTGCCAAGTGTTTTTTGTCTTCTTTGTAAGGGCTATTTTTGAGGGTCAGTTTTTTCAAAAGATATCTAAAATTGGCTTATGGATGTAGAACCAGTGAAAAGCCAATTTGCAGGGCTGGATCCAGAAAAACAACTACTCAACGTGGAACTTCCAGTTGGATAGTATAGTTCAGGACAAGGCTCATTATATAAGTCCAGAAGGCCATTTTCTGGAAAGAGCTGTATATTTTAGGACAGACATAATACACCTCCCTAGTGTCTCCTGGTGTCTCATCAATGAAGACAGTGAGGAATCAATCGGGAACAGTGAAGGATGAGCATAATCCAGACTGTTTTATTGGCGTATGCAGCTGTTAACTGTTTTTGCTTACTTAACCCTCCGGAAGCTGTCAGAGAAATATTTGTGGCAGTCACCAAGTAAAAACAGTTTAACGAGAGGAGGCCTGCCATTCAACGAGACCCCCTCCCTCTCTAATGTCCTCTCTCTAAGTCATTTCATAGCCACTCTGTCTCCTCCAAGAACCTCGAGACCCATCCTTGTCTATCTGTTCAAGACAATGCAGAGACTCAATTTACAATCTATAATACTCTGCAAATATCAGAAACCATCCTTCATTATTTTGATTTCCAGTCAAAACAGCCATTAAGTACAAGTTATTCATTTTTCAGGATGTATTTCTGAAGAGAGATGTAAGATATTAGATACAAGAATCCACTTGCATAAGGAAGGGGAAAGTGAAAGGAAAATAAGTAAAAACACAGGTGTTTCCAAAACTGGTGCTGAAAAATTATTAGAAAATATAGACAAATTGGACATCAAACAAACATGCAAGACCTGGCAGACCACCAAAACTGTCCCCTTCAGACAAACAGTACTTAAAGCTTTCATCTTTGAGAGAGAGGAGAAAATCAAGCTCCACTCTTGCTTCAGATCTGAAAACATCCACAGGTGTTTCTGTCCATCCTTCCATTGTGAGAAGACAGCACTACGAATCTAAAAGGATGTGTACCTGTCAAGAGGCCCTTGCTGAGCAAAGGAAATAGCCAAAAAATTTTGCAAATCAAACAACAAATCTTTTGATGTTCTCAGAACAATGCACTGACCACACCAGAGTACAGCCCTCAACATTACTGTGTTCAGGATTACATAGATTTTGTGAAGCAGATGACTTCTAAGATTAAACTTTTAAGTTATGAAAAAATATCCTTACAGCTTTCCTGAAAAACTTAAAGAAAGTCTTCCGAAAAAAAAATAAAGGCTGTAATAAAAGGGGTGGATAAAGGGTGGATACACTAAATACTGAAAATCATATGTTTCGTTGTTGGGACTTCTGTGTAATTTTCTGTTAAATATGTTTCCTGATGCAGAAAAATGAATAAGTTGTTCTTGTTTTGACTGGAAATTTAATAAATGCAGGGTGGCCTCTGACCTCTGCAAGTACTGTAGGAATATGCTTTTTACTTATTTAATGATTAATATTTTCCATAATGACCTGCAACAAATACGCCACGAAATTGCTTTAAATAGTGATGTGATGTCCTTAAAATTGAATACTTGTTCTGGTTGGCTACTGGTTTCTTGCCATGGGGCTGGATGCAACCATGTATATCACGTAACAGTTATGACACAGGATCCCCCCTCTGCTACACCAGCTCTTTCTTCCCCTGGGTTGCCCCCAGAAAGATGATGGACAGAAAGATACAGGCCAGGAGTAACTGGTGTAGTGTTTCTTAATCCATGTGGACTCCATGAACTACATTGGAAGAGACAACTGTTTCTGTTGTGTATGGAGCGTTCAGTGTGTACTTCTGTAAATGAAAGCTGAAGCTATTGGAATGGCCTTCGCAGCCCCCTGACTTAAACATCACTGAAAATCTGTGGGCATGCAAGATGGCTCATGTGCCATGTTGCAGGATTCATCTAACAAATTAGGACAAACTGCCTTGCTCGAGGGGCTCCGTAATTTTCTGGGTGTGCTGAGCCTTAATGTACACTGTACTTTAATGCAGTTACTGAATAAAACTTTCTATCTGGAGATGACTATGCTCCTTATTTTGAGGCTACTTCTCGCATGTCGAGACAAAGACCAGAAATCTACACTCTCTGAACTGAGACAGGACTTGGGTACTACAACGCAAACTATGTATTTTCTTTATTTCTTTGGAGACTGTGTCTATGTGTACACGTGTCCATGCACACTTAAGATGCAATAACCGTTTAAGAAAAAAAAATGTTACCATATATCTAGCTGCAGCAGAATAAATTAAATAACTGGACTGTATTCATTTGGTCTAGATATATAATAAGGATATCACAGTTCTGTGATTGTTCAAATGTTGCCTGACACAGAGCCCACAGATGTTAAAACAGCCACAAGAGGGCAGAATTCAGCTCCAGTTTGATGAACAATGACGGCATATTTTGACAGACAGGATCGAATAATAAGATTGATGCCAGAACATGAAAACAAGCCCTAAGACCCAATGCGCTCAAAAAAATCATTCTTTTCATTCTGACTAGTTTAAAGGAGACAAGTTTAAAACTAAAATATTTAGTTGTGGAAATGTAAACAAAGTCATTCATAGTCTGACGTCAATTGATTAATTGTAGAGAAACTTACAGACTCTGCCATCTTTACAGTGGTGGTGATAGGAACCAGGGGTCACAACAGCCACAACACAAATATAGCCACTTTATTTACTATCCAAAACCACCAGGGAACCTGCGCACGTCTTCTGAGTTTTCTATGTTTTATATGTGATGCAGCTACAGCGGTAAATCTAAATAAGTTTTCTTTGTTTACTATTTGCCTTACAACATCTCTTATTTATCTCTCCACCATGAATGTCTTTTAAACATTACATTTTAGGCTAAATCCTTCTCAAAACTATCATAAAACTCTTCAGATGTCTGGCTCCTATCACCAGCTGTGAACAATTCTGATTCATAAAGTTTCTATACAAGAAGCATTTCACACCAAACCACTCTGAATGACTTTGTCCCCATCTTAACCATTTATCTATGCAGAAATTTAGAAAAACATCTGGAATTCAGTTTGGGAAAAAAAAGCTAAACATGTATTCATAATCTAGAAAGAATATAATCTGAACTATACTTCATCATTTTGTTTGCCCGTCCTACGAATGTGAATACATTCTAAAACTGACAAGAATTCATAAAATAGGAATGATTTGTGTCTGAAATGTGCTACAAGTGGCCAGTGGATGGTGCTATTATGCTAGTAATACAAGATGAAATGACAGGTGTTTGAAGCAGGTGGAATCAACAGGTTCTTTCTGGAATGTGACTCTGGAGTAACATTTCAACAGTAACATTTACAGCGACACATGCAACACCACAAATACTGCTGACTCACATTAAGATTCATATTTATAAAGGAAATGTCCATAAATCATTACAGCCTGCTATCAAGGCATGTAAAGTCTTTTACTTTATTCCTTCACAGTCTGCTTTTTACTTTCACAAATGAAGACACAAAGTTTATGTTATGCAATGCTACTCAGTGGGAAACAGTCATACAGCAAGCATTGATGACGTAGGCTAAAAGCTGTTTTTAAATGGTTATTGTAAATTGTTTGGTCTGCGTCTAATTTAGCCAACAGCAGAATTACTACAGTTAAGTGTTCCAAAAATACCACAGTTTGTTTCATTACAATGTTAATCAGATACAAACCACATTTCCAGAAAGGAAACTTGCTACTTAGTGTATTTCCTCTCACAGACGCAACTCTTATCTATCAATATCACTAAAACTAAAAATCAACATTGTTGTGTAACTCCAATGCACACTGGTATTGATGATGTATTACAGTATATTATAACTTCAGGCTCCTACTCCTCTGCCATTTGTGGCCAAGTGTACAACAAAGGCTTTAAAAATATTCAAATGAAAGTGTGAGGTATGCCTTATTAATGTGAAATGAAAATTCATCAAAAGACTAGAAAACAAAACCTCACTGTAAGGGCGACATAATGGCTAAATTACATAGCTCCTAAATAAAACCATTGAAATCTAGTGCTCCATTGAAATCCAGTGAGTTTTTTCCCCCAGAAATCTTCTGTGAGAAACTTTCAGTGGATGAAAAGGGTGCTTGAAAGATCTGTACTACTGGATCAATGAGCTCCATTCATTTGACATCCTGTTTTCATCTTCAGATGTACAAAAACAAATGATCAAATTCATCTGTGCATTTTTGCCATTACAGAGCGTTTTTTGTTTTTTTTTTCAGTGGTCGGTGCATGTGTTTTTTTCTATGTCTATTAGATCACTT